CCCCCCCCCCCCCCCAATGAACCTAGGTGAGAGAGGAGACAGAAGTCCCGGCCCTCCTCCCCCAGGTGATTTATCCCCCGTTCTTCCTAGCCTGGAGAGTGACTCACAGCCTTCAGCCGCTCGGGCAGCCGGCCCAGCGCTTTTAATTATGTGCCAATGGAAGAGGAGGAGGAGCTGGTAAAATACAGGGGGGTGAGGGATGCACGAGCCTGGCTCGTGGACCCCGCGTCACGGGCTCCTGCAGCAAAGCTCTTTAGCCGCACTGATGACAGTAAGCAGGAGGAGCAGCGAGCGGGCGAGAGGTGCCAAGCTCGGGCGCTTTATCTCGTTAGCGGCCTTAAATGCCACGATCTGTCACCGCAGCGACTGGTCTCTGAGGGATCTGAGAGGGGCTCGGCGTGTGGAGATACTGCCACTCCGCATTACGCTTAATGGGAGGTGGAGAGGGCAGCGGGCTTACGGGTGTAGCACGAGCTGTCGGGGCTGAAATGGCAATCGGAAAAATGGTTTTCATGGGAGTTCAAAGCAAACCGAGCGAACCGGTGCTGACGACCACCGCGCTCCTGATTCAATGATCCCCCCCGAAACCCAGGAAACAAAGACTTTAGAACAAGGCCCGCAGCCCTGCAGCGCGACACACCAGTAAAACCAGCAGGATCACAAACTGCAGCCATCACCGACTCAAGGTTACACCAGTCAGTCTTTCCACCAGAATCAGCTGATCATTCATGAAGCCATGCAAGATTTTAGTGATGATTTAGTCTGACTGTGAAAACTGATCTGGTCGCAGTTTTGTTTCATGTCACGCGGAGATCTGCTGCATGTGTGAAGTTATGATCCCCCCCCCAGTGTGTGTAGCCGGAGGTCCTGGAACATGTTCACGGTATGGAGGTAAAGCTGGCATCAGCTGACCGTCCTGTGATGTCATCGGGACTGACACGTCTCACCGTCGGCCTTTAAAGCAAACAGCCCGCTGAACAAACGAGCGGCACGATTGAAATCTGCAGCAGGTTTAGAAGGACGGCGCTCGGGCATGCAATAAGAAATCCCGCAGATCGACCGGGACGCGTTGTCACCGTTCCCGACGAGCTGCGCGTTAGCCTCGCTAAACAAGACTTGGACTGCAGCGCGTCTGCGCTCGGTGCCAGACTGTTTTCACACTGACGTCTGCCAGGAAACAGGCTCGCTTATTCAAGGCACAAATCTCTCCCTCGCTTTCACACAGCTAATTATTTCTCCCCCGTTTAGAGCCAACTGTTTCTGTCATCTGTCTCCGTAATGACCTCTGCAAGATGTGCATGCATGCTCTCATTCTTCCTGCACCACACACACACACGCACACACACACACACGTTTTCACAGAGAAAACACACAAACAGTTCAGACGTCCATGTGGAGAGGAGCTGATATTAATTCTAAATATAACCATTGAACACATAATTAATCATCAATATCTTTAAAGCTGAATATAGAGTCTATAACATGGTTACAAACTCATAAACCATGTGAATAAAAGCCTTCAGCTGCCTGTAACACAGCGTCTCTGAGGATGCTAACACAGAAAGTCCTGATTACTTTACATATCTGGCCTCTGACCCCTGGTTTGGAGGTCTGTAGAGACACTGAACTTTGATTTCCTGCGTCCTTTCCTTTGAACCTGCTGAGTGCTTTCAAACACATCAAACCAGGGATCCACCTCCAGTCCTGCAGCTTTCAGATGCATCCTTGATGGCAGGACAGCAGCTCTTGAGGACTGGAGTTGGACACCCCTGCATTAAACCTCATGAAACTTCATTTGAATGAATGTTTAAATTCTCATATGTATGTACAGGCACAGTTCAGAAGCATTGTTTCCAGGTGTCCTGTGAGACCCTAACAGAGGACAAAGGCACCCTGACAACACTGGGACACACACACCCCTCTGCACGGTAAGGTGGGGCTTCATGGAGGAGAAAGAAGCAGAGCAGGAACCAAAGGAACAAGACTGTGAACACAAGCAGGCAAAAGGAGCTTCCTCTGAAGGGCGGCTGCCTCTCCCTTAGAGATCAGGTGAGGAGTTCCGGAGCTCAGAGCAGAGCCGCTGCTCCTCCACACTGAGACCAGGACGTCTCCTGGGCGGGCCGTTTCATAAACGTCCTACTGTGAGGAGCCCTGAGGCGGACCCAGACACCTCGGTGCTCCCCCAGATGAGTGGGAGGAGGTGGCTGGGGTCTGAACTTGAGATGACTCAGGGTCTAAAAGGTGTATTTCTTTGTTTTTACTAAAATAAACACACTCCTTATTTACATGGTTATGTGTGTAATCAGCTTTAAAGGCCCATTGTAAGCAGGAAACCCGTTAAAGTCGCAAAGTGGGAGGAAATTTAAATCTTAGCTGTGATTTAGTGATGAATAAAATTAATTTCTCCAAGTTTCTTTTTCCATCAGTTTGTGTCTTTGTCTGGTAGGAGTCTGGCTGCTGCTCAGTTAAGAAACTTCTATACTCAAAACATTAAAACTCAAAGAACCACTACAGCGAGGCCGTTTATCTTTATAAATGCTTATAAGTCAGAAACCAAAAAGGTATAATCTCACAAGTATCCAAAAGTCTTCATTATCTCAACAAGCGTTCAATGAAGTCCATAAAGGAAAAAAGATGGGGGAAAGAGGGGTGCAGTGACCACAGAGGAAGAATGGCAACACATTTGTTTATTTCATTGGAAAACCAGAAATCACAGGTGTGGAAGGAAAGGTGTGCTGGAAAATTCCTGCCGTGTTTTATTACCCCAGCTCCAAAGGCGCACTATGATGATGGAGGCTCTGTGGCTCGGAGGCAGCACACCGCTACCATATATTTGGGGACTGTACGAATATTAAAAATTACTGGAGTGTTTTTGTTGTGATGTTTCCACGCCTCCCCCGGGTCCCTGTTTTTTAGTATTTACATGATTTCGCCTAATCCCGAGCTCCCCGTCACCTGTGGACAGGTGCTTCTCACCTGGTTGTCAAACTTGAGTGACTGCGTGCCCACGAGGAAACGAACAGCGTCGGTCTCAGCTGTCTGCGCCGTCAGAGCTCGAGCCTGCGGAGTAACGAAGTACAGAGTAAGGATTACATACAAGATTCCAGCGCAGAGGCAGCTGTCAGACAGCTCGACGGGAATGAATGGAGCCGCAGTGAAGCAGCAGCACCTGAAACTCGAGCCCGTAAATGACGGGAGCGTCGTCCTCCATTTGCGCTGCGTCCTCTGCGCGGTTTGATTCTTTTAATGAAAGGCTTCGCTCAGAAAGCGCCTCTGCGCTCCTTTCTGCTCCAAACACAACACAGCGCCTCACTTCCGCGATTTAAAACTGAAATGTACGGATAGCATGCGCAACGACGGCCGTGTGACGACACTTACGCTTTAAAAACAACGTAGAAGAAGATCCGGAATAGCAACCATGAAACGTGTCCTCTCTGACGCACCGTACTAGTAGCTGTACTGTGTGACGCATGCGTGTTACAGGCGCGTCTGTCAGGTTGCAGTACGGTAAGTAAACAGTCCGTCCTGCTTCTCTTCCTGGTCTTTTATGCGTTTGCGGCTGTTTGTGCGGTGATGTTAGCGGCAGCGGAGCAGCTGAAGACGCTCTGCGCTGTTTTAAAACACTGTTAGCGGCATTTGACGGTTAGCGGCTCGGCTGGCTAACCTGAGCTAGTTGGCTAAAGTAGCACTAGCATGACAGACAGACCCAATAACCGGTTTTACCGATTTGGTAATCCGAGTACCGGCTCCTGTGTAATCGTGAATAAAAGGCCGAGCAGCTCTGGTGCTGCAGCTCAGTGCTGACAGAGACGGAGATACCATACTGTGTTTACAGTTACAGGAAGCGACGAGACTACAGGAAGTGGGATTCATGCTGATTTAAGGTATCTGACATTCAAAATAAACCACACCAGAGGCTTCCTGGAGGCTGTTTAAAGAGCTGACGGGCAGAAACCAAGCTGTGCTTGCCCAGAGGTCACTGCAACCACACGTTTAACCACGGTTTAATCGAGGTAGCCTCAAATACCCTCAGAGGTTACAGATCCTACAGTCAAAATATCAGGACGCAGTAACTACTTTTAAATAAACACCTGCGGTGATCGGTCTGTGTCATCACTGTGGGCGAGCTTTGGCCCGCTCTTCTTTCAGTCGTTGAGGTTTGCAGCATTCGTTCATGCACAGCTCTTTGAGCAGCACTTTGGTCTCGTTTGTTCCAGAGGTCTTGTGTTTTGTTCAGATGCAGCTTTTTCTGGTTCCCTGAGCATCGCAGGGTCTGACCTCGGGGTGAATTTGCTGGGCCGTCCACTCCTGAGACCTCCAAACTTCTCGTTTCACAGAGGTGCTCACCCTGATGATGATCAGTTAATAAATGCATTTGATTAGCAATGTTTCCCTGCGTCTCATCCTCTTAATTCCTGCGGAAGCGGTGAGGGTGGAATTTTTTTCCTGCCGTTGGCATGCCTGCTTTGTAGTCCCAGCTCTCACTTTATTCTTTAAACATCTTTGAAAGTTTAAAGTTGTCCCAAAAATTTGGAGTCTTAATGACTGAATCTCTTTTGTTGTCTTTTACACCGTTTTGACAGTCAAACTTTCTGAAAGTTTAGTTTTACAGTTCACGTTACACCAACAGTGAGACGATGTCACCAACCCTAAAAACATCTTTCTACTTGTTTCCAGCTTGTAGTTTTCCTCTACAGGCATAAATTACACATCATAACTGGACATTTTTGTCCTCTTTCACCTGATGTTTCTGTCCCGTGACGCAGAGACCTGTAATAAAATTTGAAAACAATAAAGAATGACAGGAAATGAGTGTTCCTGCTTCACAGGAACGCCACACAACAATGAGAGGAATTGTTGGTTCATGTGTTTGTGTGTTTCTGTGTGCAGAGCAGTGAGATGGACAGCGGGGAAGCTCACGCCCAGCGGCCGGTCTCCTTGGACATCGCCGTAGAGGATGTAAACCAGGAAGTATCGGCTCCGGCCCCTCCTGAGGCGACCACAGGTCAGACTCCGCCCACAGACGGTGGTCTGCCCCAGGAGGACAGCATCGATCTAGGTCGGGACTTTGCCACACCACAGGAGGACAGCAGCGCCACGCCCTCAGAGAGCCTCATGGACAAGCTCAACGACCAGATGATGGAGAGCGTCATGATTTCTGATTCGCCCAATAACAGCGAGGAGGATGACGTGGTGCCTATCGATTCCCTCCTGGATGGAGGCGAGGAGGAGGAGGAGGAGGAGGAGGAGAACGCGGTGGAGGGAAACCAAGAGGAGCAGAGCGAGATCGGACAGAATACGACTGAGATTAAAGTTTCGGTGGAGGAGCAGGAGGACGGAGGCTCGCAGGAAAAACCAGAGGAAGTGGCGACCAGCGCCGTTTCCCCGGGTGACGTGAAGAGTCTGTCTGACAGTCGCAGTGAGGAAACGGCGCCGGAGATCACCAGAGCAACCAAACCAAAGGACGAGCCTGTCCCCGTATGCACCATATTCAGCCAGGGCACCCAGCCCAAGTCTTTAGTGCCCGACGGCTTCCAGCCCACCCTCATCAAGTCGCCCAGCTTCAGCATGGGCGGCGGCGAAGACACCGTGACGCCCAGTAAGATGGCGGGGGCGCTTGTGTGCCAGCCCAGCCCGAGCCTCAGCAAGTTCTTCACAGATAACGGACAGACCAACCCGGCGTCCGACTTTTTCGACTCCTTTACCGCCCCCTCCTCCTTCATCTCCGTGTCCAACCCCAATGCTGAGATCCCTCCAGGCTCCGCCGAAGCACCCGAGCACAAGCTCTCATCCACCTCCTCCTCTGTCTCTACCCCCGGAGGGATCCTGGACTCTGGCGCTCCCACACCGAGCTCAGCGTTCGCCCCTGCTGAACCATCCCCCAAGCTCCAGCCACCCACACCTCAAACAGCCTCGGCTCCAGGCTCCGCCCCCACCTCAGCTCCAGCTGTCCCACCACAGCCCTTCAACCAGCTGTTTTCAGGCAGCGACGACGCGTTTGCGACGGCGCTGAGCCTGAACGAGGCAGACAGGCGCCACGATGCCTGGCTGCCGTGCGAGGAGACCAGGAAGGTGCTAATCTCCGTAGCAACGCAGCAGTACGGCCCCGCCTACTTGGAGAGCAGCAGACTGACCATGCCAGGACTCAAGTTTGACAACCTGCAGGTAGGAACTCTGATCCCTCAGCAGTAAACCCGCCCATGCTCGTGTTCAGGTGACTGCGAGGACGTTTCTGTCCTGTTGCTTTTGGATGATGTTGAATTTCTGTGTTTTTAAAAACAGGGCGACGCCGTCAAGGACCTAATGCTTCGTTTTCTGGGAGAGGCGGCGGCCGCGAAGCGTCAGGTCCTCACAGCCAACTTCGTGGATCAGTCCTTCAACGGCCTCAAACAGCTGATTGTGAGTCCCTTTAGTTTGTGAGCGGAGCATCGCTCGGCGTGAAACGGGACGTTTACGTGTGGGTGGAGCTGACGTTCTCCTCCACCTGCGCGGTGTCGTCTTCAACTCTGCACTAACCTGAGAAATTGTCACAGTTAATCTGCTGATTTCGTTGCTCTGATTTGTGCTGATTCTTTTCATTGTACACAAAGTTAATAGTTTCCTGTTTGAAACGGTGAAAAAGGTCGGCACCATCAGGTTGGAGGAGTGGGTGGAGCAGCAAATCATTTTGCTTGAAGTCATACATGTGGCAGACTTTCACGTTTTTATTTTTAGCATTTTTAAACACGTTATTAACTAAAACCAAGGAGTGCGGCTGAGTTTAGGAAAAGATCCTGATGAAGTCTTTGTTGTCTTGGTTTCCACGGTGACGTGCTAAGTGATTACTCGTGTCCATGAAGAGTTTTACACTTTGGCTCCACCCAAAGAGAGTCACCCACACGATGATCACAGACTCAGGTGGGCCACTCGTGTTTACCTGCCTGATCACATGTGTGTATCTGCACACACGGGTCCATGAACACCGCACAGTGCAGAGGCACATCATAGAAATCTCAGAGAGCAGGAAGGTGACGTCTCCTGGGTCAGGTGACACTGGAGAGGATGATTTGAGGAGCTGGAGATGGTTTTACTTTTGTTGTTGTGCATAATTTGAACAGTGTTTCTAGTTAAATTCATGGAGTTGTTTAAAAGCGTATCTGCAGCTCTGATTGTAACCAGAAGAGCTCAGGCAGCTTTTGCAGATGGTCTAGAAACAGGTCACTCTGCATTTGTAATTCTTGCACCAGGCTCCTCGGCGGTGGCTGGAAGGCTCTGAGAGCTCGTGCTGTCCTGCAGGAGCTTTCTGGAGGTAAACGAGTAAAGCGGCGCTCGGCGTCCCGCGGCGGCTGCAGCCTGTCTGACCTCCTGACAGTCGGTGTTTCTGCTGAAGCCGCTGGCTGCTTTCGGTCTCAGCTGACTGAAAACAGTGAATCATTCGCCTCCTTTCTCTTCATATCCTGTTTCTTCTCCTGCCAAGCATAAAAATGCGTGTGTGTGTCTTTGTGACCGCGCAGTCTCACCTCATTCCCTCCGCTGCTGCCATCCATCTCTCGTCTACCTCTGCAGCCCTCGTGCATTCCCTCCATCATCATTTCTGACCCACAAACGACCCTGAGAGACGCTTGTTATTTAAAACATATGCACAGCAGCAGCAGTGATGGAGAGAGGTGGAGTGGAGAGATGGAGAGGTGGAGATCCACTCTGCTCACAAGTTCTCTCTTCCTGCTGTGCCCATGTATTATGCATAGGACTGCTGTGCATATTTCAAGGGCCTTCTGGACTTGGTGTACACACACACACACACACACACACTCAATATGGTGCTTTCAGCCTGCAGTCAGCTGCACTATAGGTGAGTGTGTGAGGATCATACGCCGTCTGCTGATTGGTGTGGGTGGCTCCCCGGAGCAGGAGAGATGGCGAGGCAGGAAGGTGACGCGGGCTCGCCGATGAATGACGCGGGCTCGCCGATGAATGACGAGCAGAGAGAGCAAGCATCAAAGCAGGCTTCGCCTGGACTCACAACTTTTACCCACAGAGCCCATTAAAGATGGATGCAGCCGCCCTGATGTCACAGGTGGCCTTCGTTTTCCTGGAGGTCGCTGCTCGCGCTCACCTCCTGCTGTGTTTGGACGTTAGATTATTGGAGGCGAGCTGATAACAATGTCTGTAAAACAACAACCTTGTTTATTGAACAGTTATATCATTATGTTAAAGACTGAAAGGTCCAAAGCTGCTCCTGCACGTGGAGCGCTCTGGGATCCCTGTGACTCCTCCTGGCTGTTCTGATCGGAGCCCATTGGCTGAGACCTGGAGCTCACCAGACCTGGGTCCAGGTCGGGGCCCTGCGGTCCCTGTTCTGGGTTGGAAGTTGTCATCCTCATACGAGGTTTTCACACACACGTAAATAACGTATATAATCCACAGAAAGAGCCTAAAAGTGTGGATGAGGCAAGCTGTACAAAGCGCTGTATATGAAGCAGTCCATTTACCGTCTACATAAGACTAGAAACGTTGGTGAAAGAATGGCTCACTCAGTGAATTCCAGCGTGGTATCGTAATAGGATGTCACCTGTGCTCAGAGGTCACCGACTTTCTGGAGAGTCAATCGCTGCAGACCTCAAAGCTCATATGACCTTCAGATGAGCTCAAGAACAGTGCGCAGAGAGCTTCATGAAACAAGTTTCCATCTAAGACTACTGCATTTGGAAATAAGTGTAGCTCAGCGTGCACCGTTATTGAATATACAACAACAGTATTTCTGTATGACCTGTTAATGTGTGGTTTCGTGCCGTTTGCTCGGAGTAAAGGCCTTTAGAGCGACAACCTCCACCTTTCGTTGGGGCGGTTCTCAGTTCAGTCGGCACCTGGAAGCTCAGAGCTGAAAGGGCAGAGCGCCCAGTCTGACCCGGGCTGCTTGACAGTGATGCGGACGCTGTACTGCTCTGTTGTGCAGAAGGCAAAGCTGCTGGTCGATCCGTGACCACAAGCCGTGGGCAGAGACCAAAAAACAAGCTCCAGGATAGACGCAGCAGTAATGAGCTGAACGATGTCTGAGCTCCGAGTTGACCGAGTCTGAGGAGGTGTGTCCTGTGCATGGCTGCAGAGATCTCTGTGTTTTTGCAGGAGATGCCGGTGAAGTTTTGTTGTTCTCAGAAGAGCTTGAGCAACACTGGATGTGTCAGAAGTCATGCAGTGGTGTCCTCAGTGGAGCTGCGTGACACAGAAGAGCTTCAGATCTTCTCTTTGCTGAATGTGCAGATGCTGTGACACGTTTCACTCTTATATCCTTCTCCTCCACATCAGCACATCTCGGTGCCACAGACCTGGAAATCCCACATAACGTGATACTTGAGCGCCTCTTTTTTTTCTCGGAGTTCAAAGGTCAGTGCGAGCTACAAGGCGGCTTTCTTTCCTTCTGCTGCCGCCTCAGATTCGGCGTCTTGCTTTTGTTCTGTGAGGCAGATGATTTCCAACACAGACTTGAACCCGCGGCCTCCGGCTGAAGGACGACATCTCTGCTCGCTGCATCCTGCTTAATAAGGAGCTTGTGTGGCGTTGCTGACATAATAATGGAGCACTGAGTCACTCCGGCTGATGAATGGATCCGACACCATCTGCCTCCTCCATCTACGACCATCTACTCGCATTCAGATGATTTACTTACCAATAAATTATGAAATTTTCAAACTTCCAAGATCAAACAAACTCGTAGATCAAAGCTGTCGTAGGCGATGTAGCTCGCTGAGCTGGGAGGGGAGGTTAAGATTCAGAAAACGAGAGGATGTGAACGCACGCAGGCGCACACGCACACACACGCACAGTTAGGGAAGTGCAAATGTCAGAAAGCTTTAGGCCATTAAAAGTGCAGCCTGCTGAAGAGTGATGCCTTTAAAGACAGCTGATCAGTCACGTAGAAATAGAGGATGGATGGATCGTGTGTGTGTGCGTGTGTGTGAAGCCTTTTGCTCGGCTGACACTCGTCGCTGAGCTTTATCCTGTCGTGCGGTGTCCTGTGTGATGCAGAGGCCGCTATGAGCTGGCAGAATGAGTCATGCTGCAGATCCAGAGTGTGACTGCACCCACTGCCACTGTTCATGCACACACACATGTGCAGCGAGGACACAAACACACACTGAACACACTCACCGGAGGGCCGAGAGTCTGCACTTCCTCTCTCTCTGACTCTTGGCGTCGGCCTCTCTGCCCTCAGCTGATGAATGAGGACATCGGAGCTGCTGTCACACACCACTGTGCTGTTATTCAGTAGTCTGATTACAGTTACTACTCTTCAGTTAGCTGCACAGCGGGGAATCGAAAAGTAAAAATAATTAGACATTCTTTTTTCCCTGAACACGTCTGATTTCTGTTCGTGTGGAGGAGAAACGAGAGCAGGTCGCTTTGGAGAGGAGACTTTATTTAAATTTTTATAAAACATAAAAAGAGCATCGCGGTAAAGGTCACGCAAAAATACTTCAGCTTCTGGTGCGAGGGGGAAAAAATTCAGGATGTGCACCACTAGCTGACTAATCGTCGCTGTTGTCGCTTGTCGGTACCAGAATAAGGAGTCGTTTAATCTCATTGTTAAAATTTTAATGGATGACCAACGACGGTGAAGTGTTACGCAGCCTCCTGCCACCAGATGGAGCAGCGTCGTTGCGACGGCGGTTTATGTGTTTGGGAACATTATTACAATCAGATCGCAGATACGCGAGAGCAGCGGAAATGAGGTGGACGAGCTCTGCCGTGTGATACGGCGAGGAGTTAAGTTATGGAGGCGGCCAGGGAAGATCCGCTGCTCCTCCACATGGAAAGGAGACTGTCGCTACCCGATCTGTACCGGAAACCCGATCGGTACCCC